CCTCACTAGATAAGGTTCTAGCGTTAAACGTTGCCAAGTTCAGGTTCCAATGGTTCCAATGGCGGCCTGTCCGGATCCAGAGATTCTTAGCACCCTCTGCTGCGTTGCAGAGCTGACCGCCGCCGTGGTCAGTTGCTTCGCAGCTGCTGGAGACTGAGGGCCGTGAGTTATTTGATGTAAGCATGTGGGAGGTAGTGGCCAGATACTGCACCAGGGTGGCCAATCCTTCTCTGGTGAGGGAGTGCGTTCTCGGCGGTGTTTGCCGGTGAGGCCGCACCCCAGGCCTCTTAATGCAGTTCCATCAACACGCGGATTTTTTTTTTTTAATCCGGTTGGGAACTGCGCGGTACCCGGATTTGAACCACGGACCTCTTGCATGCGAGGCGGATGCTCTAACCACTACGCCATCGCAGCATGCGTGATAAGCGTTTGTCGCAGCTCAAAGAGCCGGTTTCGGAGCACTTGAGTGCCTACGTCGCGCACGTCACTCGATCGCTCAGCTTGCACTCACTCTGGCATATCTTAGGCTACTCGTAGTGGATGCCACCGCTACTGATTATGATAGCGATGTGAAATGAGAAGCATCGATATCTGTAGCAGCTTCTCGATAGACCTGCAAACGAATGTCTTCGTAGTGTCACTCTATCAACACGCCAAGCAATTCCGTTCACTCGAGGAGCGAGAGGCCGCGCTATTATTAGAAGAGAAGGACGCACGTGACAGCGTATTTCCTCTAGGCGAAATACACTTCGAAATCTACTGTATGTTGTGCATGTAAAGAACTCACCTCTAACCAGTGTTTTTTTTTTTTTTCGCGCGTGTAGAGTGGTGAAGCGTTGACAGCATGAGGACTGTCATATTACAGACGCGCGCAAGCAAGTGGTTTGCGAGTAGTAAATTTGAAAAGCGAATTCAATATGAATCCAATAACGGTATAACGAAATATAACGCTTAAATGAACCTAATACCCTTCTGATAGTTTTCAAATAGAAGGGAAACCTTTTTAAAAATAATCTCAGGACTCCACAACAGTTTATTTGAAATATATATTCACATGCTGTCAGCAAATAATACTATAATTAGGAAAACTGTAAGCTTGTATACAGCAGCGACCAGAGCCTTCGAAATACTTGCAAACACAGCGCGCTTTTTTTAGTCTTGCCTGGCAGGTGCCTGCAGCATCGTCACGGGCGCAGCCATGTTTGCTGACGACATCACGTACGAACCAATGAGCGCGCATCTTCCGAGAGCCTTGTAAGAGCGCCTGGCGCAGTTTATTGTGAGGGGGGTCTATCCGCTCGCCTTTGTAAACTCGCAGCCCTGCATGGTGCCACGTATAGCAACTTCAGTGGTTGGCGCTTAAGCATACAAGGACGTTAATCTATTAGACGCCTTTGTCATAGGAGTAGATATACAATATTTACAAGATTAGATCTGCAACCACAGCCGACGTTTCACTAATATTACGTCGGAATAATGTCCTTTTTCGAAAGCAGCTCTGAGACCTGGCATGGGTCTGTGGTATACAATACTTGATTGTGATGCGGAATGCTCGGGTTCAATTTCTGGGGGGACTGTAAAATTATTATTCGCATTCGTCGAATCAACGCCAATTTCTGTGTTCACCGTTTCTGGATAGATACTGCCATACTCCTGTGGCGCATATCCGCATACCACGGCTTTCCACGGCTCGTGGTATGTGAGTATAAGTCACACGTGCCTATAGGCAAACGTTTGACGTCGTACGCGACCAGGCTTTCGCATTATTGATGGCATGACTAGACAGCCATAATCGTAAAACCCTCTTACCCTACCACACTAATTTTGGTCTACTCCAAGTTAAGGAGGTGCACACGAGAGACCGAGATGTAGATAGATAGATAGATAGATAGATAGATAGATAGATAGATAGATAGATAGATAGATAGATAGATAGATAGATAGATAGATAGATATATAGATAGATAGAAGCAACAATAAACACACGTAAACGCAGAAGGTTCTGAGCCGTAAGCGTCCTTTTATTTTTATCCCTAAAGTTCGACCAATACATGGTCACTCGCAATGCAGCCAACAAAGCGACAAATCATCAGCACGCATGTTTTTACACATCAGGTTCGTACACGCGTCTCGCTTTATTACACATTGAATACAACATTTCTCAATTTGCATGTTTAAAGATATTACAGCTCAACAGCCAATTTACAACAGTCACGTGATTGACGGCGCAAGTGCGACAAAACTGCACCAACTTCTTTGTGACCTGCAGTTGGGCTGTTCGCGTCCGTTTTTAAATTTATTTCATCTTTGCGAGACGAGCAGGCTGTCAGCGGGAAGGAAACCACGTAGCAATAAATAAAAATGGAAATGTTCAGGTCGTCGCTTTAGCGTGGCTCAGTTTGTTTAAAAAAAAATATAGAGAGCACAAAATCAGCTTTAAAAAGAACGTACAAAGCTGATCCTTTTCAAAGAACGTTAGTTTCTATTTGCAATCGCATAATAGTTGAGAAACAAAACAAATAGTAAATGCATGGATGGTTGTAGCATCATTAATAGTGGTCACGTGCACGGACGTCAGCAGATGAAACACACGCGGGAGTTTCAAATAAGAATAAACACTATGAAGGGGAGGGGGGAGTTACCGATGTTTTTTTTTTTATTCCAACTTCAACACGCGATACTCTTTCGACTTTGGCAAGAAAGGAAATGCACTTTCGTGCGATTTTCAGGAAAAAAAAGTAAGAGTTCTTCGTCTTTCTCTGAAATATCAAGGCTATGATTTTTCTCATAATATATACGCACAATTCGATCCGTCGTATTAGGAGCCTTAATATATATATATATATATATATATATATATATATATATATATAATATATATATATATATATATATATATATATATATATATATATATATATATATATATATATATATATATATATATATATATATATATATATATATATATATATATAGTTTTTATTCTATACACCATTTAGCGTTCTTTTACAAGAGAGTCGTTTAGAACGATGATACGCTGCAAATAACAGTGACATCTTTTTTAAAAATAATTTTATCTAAGTGTTATGTGAGAAGCCTTGTGGAACATGGGAGGAGAGGTAAGTCAAATTAAACAGAAACTGTGAAGGCGAACACTTACTATAGCTCACTTGGGTCAATTTGCGTGTGGCACTTGGCACTAAACTCTTCGACGCAAGGTAATTCCCGCTTTTGGGTCGGGTATATTCGCACGTATGTCACAGTTGAGGTCGAGCTATAAGGCAGAAGAGGCTATAGTTTCGGTTTACGCGGTTTTCGTAAATCGGGAGTCGCAAGTACGCTTTGCGTGGGGCCGTCACGCCTGAATGAAGTTGTTGAAGTTTTACGAAACGTGTAGAACGAGGAATATATTTTATTTAATCTCAGATTGATTCAGAAACTCGCATCAGGCAGTGCGCACCTTAGCGATAATTGATAGGTAGTGTTTAACAAGGTGCTTGACTGGGCTGGTTGGTGCTGCATGGTAGACGAAGGAAGTGCTTAACAGCGCAAACGACCGGATGAGATAACAGCGCTCTGTTCTCGTCTCTTCTATCCCCTCCTGTCGTTTGCGCTGTTAAGCACTTTCTTCGTCTGATAGTGGAGCCTCAATAATGCCTCCTGCTCAAGCGGTATCGTCATCATTGCTACTCTTGTTTTTTTTTAATACGACAATACTCGCGCGTTTATATCTAGAGCACTTTGAGGAATCCCAAGGGATAGACATATAGACTTGGTGCACCGCGCAGCGAAGCTTCCGTGAGTGCGGTGTACTTTTGACATATGGGTCAATTAACGCGAACAAATACATAAATGCGGACGGCCTTGCTAGGCAGTTGGCCCGAGAATGCTGTACAAATCCTCAAGCTTTCTCTTTGGTATTGTCAAAAGAGACGAGCTCGCATCAAGTTGGCTATCTACAAAGCACAACCTCAACTCCAGTACTTCAGCAAGATGAGGCCCGCTTCGCCTGCTACTATTGAGAGATTCGCTAAACGCGCTTTATCGCGAAGTGGCGAATCATGTGTGCTACTAGGACGTGGAGTCCTAGGAAGTCTGTTCACAAGAATGGCCAACAGCAATTCCACTCACATGCACAATAGCGGCTAAACTTTTATTCGCGCCCTTTTTGTGGATACCGAAAGGAATCGACACCGTCAAACATACCTTCGGGCCTTTCTTCGAGTGCTTCTCGTAAGCTATTTGTGCATAAATTACGCACGTACCTGGACGTTCAGCACCATCTATAGATGCTGGGTTCGCACATAGCGAAGCAGTGACCCACGAAGCAATGTTGGGCTTCTATTGCGCTTCTTACGCGCAAGACCAACGCGTAATTTCGACGCAGTAAAACGAGGCTAAAATAATAATTATCGATAGTCATTATCATCAACCGCGATTCTATTGAAAGCACCCGCGACCGGCTATGATTGGGTGAACTCAATGGAGGTAACTTGTTGTGGTTGATTAATGCGACGTATACCACTTCCTAGCAGTTCACTATAGGCCGCGCGATGACTTCAGCGCCGTTTTGTATTGTTACGAGGTCATTTCCACTTTACTAATTTACCTATGAAATGCATATAGCTACTCAATTGTTCACTGCGTAGAGCTACAAGTACGTGGGTCAGCGGCTTTAATGACTAGAAGCTGCGAACGGTTTCCTTGGCCTCCAATCGTATCGACATAGCAAGCAATTCAATATCTGACATTAAACCAAGTCGACATAGCTTCTTCCGCTTTGTCTGGCCTTCAACACAAGCAAATGAAACGTATTTTTAATTTCGTAACCATTATCCTCATTGTGCCGCGCATAGCACGAAAAATCAGTCGTAGATGAACTCAAATACGGTTCCACCGTGTTCGTTTGGAAAAGTTCGGGAAACCACATTGGTTCACGCGAGGGCACGGTGTATCCGTCGTCAGCTCGCTGTTGCTCCTCGCATGGCTTTCTGGCATATAGTTCGTGGCAGAGCCTCCTGTTGTTGTGCACAGAGGGTGCCCAATCTCCGGGGTGGCATCGCAACGTGGCTGCTTTTTTCGAGGCCTCCCCGGCCCGACGTGCTCCGTCTGTCCATCACTGTCCGGCCCCGGCTGCTATCGGCTGAGAAGATCCAGGTTCGCTGAAACGTCAGGAAATAGGCAGACTGTGACGCCAGGCCTCCGCCGCAGGCTTCGGGTAGTGCATGCCGGTGCACTTTCTCTTTTTTCAGGCAAATTTCTTAAGTGCGGAGCCCGAATGCTGGGAAAAACGAAAATTAATTTGACGATCCGGCTTCAGCGCCAGCCTTTATCAAAGATGACCTTGCTGTAGCGCTGGAGAGTTAACAATATAAAATGTTGCATATTTTTTACTCGAGCCTGGTGCGTATGGGCGCGTATGTATATTGAAACTGAAGAAGACATTGATTATCTTACTTAGTGTTAGTGCGGCCGCGGAAGACCTGCGTGCGATAGGCTGAACGCGTTTATTTTGAAGCAGAACAGACTTCACACTCTCGACAAAGACGTAGCCGTTATTGATTTTTTTTTTTGCGGAGAGGAAGTTCAACGACCCTTTATGTGGGCGGCTTGTGTGTAAATATGCACAGACACAAAATTGAAAAAAAAAAAAAGATTTGCGGCTGGAGTACTTGAAACCCTTTGCCGCCATCCCGTCTTTCCCGCGACTCCCATCGCTTTCGAATGCTTAGTACTCAGCGCTCCCATCTTCTAGGGTAAAAGGCAGTCACGGATATTTGTACCGGCTGAACGTGAAATCCTGAAACCCAGAGAGAGATAGAGAGAGAAATAAATAAAAGGGAGAGACAGGGAGGTTAACCTAGAAGAACTGGTTTGCTACCCTGTACAGGGGTGGGGGAAAAGGGTCGGAAAGAGGATAGAGATAGATAGGATAGAGAAACTCAAGCGTCTACTTAACCAGCTACTCTGAAATATCAGACGTCCTGCGATATTAGTCATCATACGTTACGTGCGCTGCTGATATACCACGTCGTGAACATGTCGTCATACCCTATACCTCTATGGACGTTGTCACAACACATTGTCCGCATATTTCGGTAGCTTACAGTGAACGAGTTTATCGCAATGAATCTGAAACAGAAATCCCCAACCCCTTTTGCATTCAAGGAGGCACGGGGTTCCTCACGAAACTGTGGGGTCTTTCGTATTGGTTTCAAATGTTGATATACTAAACCTGAAATCCGATGTCTTAATTTTTGCATCGTGGTTTTTTTAAACAAGACGAGAAAAAAAAATGAACTGAAGAGAGGCACAAAGAGTCCCTGAAGCATTAAGTGGGGCCTCTTCATTTCTTATAAAGTAAAGGTCACCTTTTATGAATAGTCCTTTGTTTTGCTCGAGAAGACGTGACGCACTCACAATTTCAGATTGAATTTTTTTTTTCGATAAAGAACTGCCTAACACACTAAGTGCAGTGGCGGGAAGCAAACCTACCTTGGTAAAACTTATTGACTTGCATTGCTGGGCAGTCCTGAGTGAGAGGAAGTGAGGAAAAAAAATTGCAAGTGATTAGGTTTCAGATGCTTTAAAATTTTACTCTAGGTGGGATGATAACAACATGCTTATCTAGAACATCTGATGATTTGCCTTGTTCTGCAGAAGAGATAAAAGAGTTGGGTGTCTATAACGCGCACGAACAGCGATAAGGATTAATGTCACCTTGTAATGCATTTTATGTGCTAACAGATATTCAGCTTGCAGACACATGCGTATATCAACACGAAAATTATGCACGTTTAAAACTGTACTAATTAAATCGAATGTTAGAAAAACAAAAATAAATTATGCGATTCGAATGAAAATAGCATGAAAAGTGCGTTAGAATTTGCCTTAGATTTAGGTAATGGGGGGCCATTGCTAAGTGCCGATGTTCAGATGGCGGATTACTCCAGTGCATTATTCTAAGTGCATTATTCAAGATGGTGGATGTCGGTGGTCAACACTACGTGTTCGTCGCCCATAGCGTTAAGTTCAGATATAAATAAAACACATTACCCATACAAAGTGTATTAACTCTCACAAGGTGTCTCGCCTACTAGAAATTGTAAACGAAAAAGAAGGCAGCCGTTGAATACGTCATATCGTGGTCACAATTTCGGCAACGTATGGTACATGCTCAACCGCGCTATAGATGTATACGCGTGTGATAAATCATGCAGATTTTATATGACCGCGATGGCGGCAACCGTGCAAGTGCCGTGGAATACGTTTCTCTTCGTGAAGCAAGTAGTATTGTGTGTTTATTTTACTCACATCGCTCCTAATATCGATGTTTGTGCGAACGACGCGACCATGGAGTGGCTGCGTGGGCCTGAAGTTGTTCCCGAGAGGCGCCTTGGGGTGGAACGCGTCACCCTGCATCAGCTTCCGAGTGGCGAACAGCTGACCACCATGTGAGAAAAAGGCGGGAAAGAGAAGGAAGTAGAACATTAAGAAAAAAATCAATACGTCACTTAATCAGAATAGCTGTCTGGCTAAGCGATCTGTTCGAAGCCCAAATACATGCACCTTTCTTGTCAATAAAGCCCAAAATTTTGAGCAGATTTTTTGAAGTGCTCTCTAGAGTAATTTAATCGTGCCACTGGTTGTGCAAGTTAACACCTTGTTATCACAGAGGGCTTTGCCCGGAAGTCGGCATAGTCAGGCTAGTATGATGATCTTTGACAGTATACATAGAGCAATATTCACGCCAGTGTTCATAAACTTGCCGCAAAACGCTAATCTCTACGCAATATTAAGAACGTGTTGCTGGGCGAGTTGGCGGATACTTGACTAAATCTTAATTTTAGCGCTGAAAGACAAACACGGCAGAGCTTGTCCTGTCGTCTGTCGTGTACTCGTATTTTTCGGCGCTAAAATGGAGACGTCGCTAAGTATCTCCGGGCAACTAGCCACGCTGAAGAAATTTGACGAGGTCTCTGCCTGACGATTGCTAGTTTTACTTTGCTCTTGTTTCCACTGGTGGAGAGAGTCACCAAGACTCTCACTTTATAAGGCTCTATATGAACAAACTTGGTCAAGCAAAACGCCGATGATGAGCGATGGCAGCGTGTACCTGTTGGCGCGTCATGTACAGCGGGCGGTTCATCAGGATCCAGGTGACCGTCTCCTCACAGCCGGGCGTCGTGCTCGAACCCTCGTACGTCATGTAACTGTCCGTCTCCGGAAGCAGGTCGCGGATAGACACCGACTTCACGGCCACTTGGGAGCCTGAGAGTACCGATCGCAGCGCTAAGAAACAGTGCAAATATCGCAGATTGTGACAAAACACTCGCGATTGCGGTTTCAGCTTCTTATAGGTGCTATCACGTTTTTGTCTCCGTCATATGACCCATGATCGGCGCTAAATGCCAAATTTTTCCTGGAAATACACGAGCACGCACCCGCCGCTCTAACGAAGCAGCAGAAAAAAAAAAAGATCACGACCACTAAAGCCTGGGCGCGTATTAGTTCAGATGGTACGAGAGTTCTTAGGGTCTAAGCACAGCTTTATTAGTTGCCGAGTCAGGGCTGGAACCTATCACTGTCCGTAAGTGCAGAAGAAGGTAAATTCGAGAAAACTTGGCCATCAGCTAGAATACTGTCGTATTCATCTCTTTCGTGAGCTAATTCATTTTTATTCGCTTTTTCTCTATTTCTTTTCGAAAGGTCTCCACTGAGTTCCACCGAAACCAAAAACTTTTCCCGCGAATAGTCCTCCCCACTCCGCCTCTTCTCATAGACGGAATACATGCCCACTCGTAGAAGTACCCGCGCGAGTTCTCTTAATTGGGACAGCACCAATCCTGCTGAAGGGACTTTGGCCCATCGCGATCCACACGCGAAGCATCCATCTCTTTGCGTTCCTCCGAGACGAGCTATACAGCCGCCGAAGTTCTAGCGTCGGGCAAGGAACGGAGATCAACTAGTGCGCAAACAAAACGAACAGGAAGCACGCAATGACATCTAACGAGCATCCGACGAGAAGGTGAAGAGAAAGAGCATCGCGGCTTCAACATCGGACCGATGAAGGGACCCTGCTGGTGGCGCTGCCGGACCGCTAGCATATCCGGCTGCAGTCCACTCGCATGGATATGCGCTCGGTTCCACGAAAAAGCATCCCGCGCGACCGATTAGGAGGAGGCCTCATTAGCCGCCGATGGATCGGAGCCCAATTACGAGGATTGCCCATCGCGGCAACAGACGCCGCTGCAGAAGAAGCCCGCTTCAACACGTGGTTCGCCGCCGTGTAGACCGAACTCCCGAACCTTTCCCTTCTCGCCAGAGCTGGGGAGAAAAACAAGGAAAGAAAGAGTCGCACACTGTGCACCAAGGGCGAAGCGTTACGCAGGCACGAACTCATTCGCGACGTACCCGTGGCACTGCTAATACCTCGATTCTGGCGGTGCCCGGTTCGCAGATGTGGCGTGAAACGCGACGCTCTGGGTCAAAAAAAAAAAAAAGAGGACGCGCGGGTCGTGGAAAGGAGGAGTGGAACGCAATCAGTTTACGAAACTGCAATCATTATGCGACAATATCGCGGGCGACTGAGATAATAGCGTCCGATAAGCTGTATCGCAAAACTGATGCTTGATTTAAACCACGAACCGCAGTGAAGTTTTCGTTCCCCTTTGGGGAACTCTCGCTTCTTTTTTATTTCAAAAGCGTATGACACACTGTCCTTCAGCTCGGCTGCTTTCTTTCCTAGTTTGGTAAGACACTGGAGCAACCACGCCTGTACTGCAATACCGAATGGCGAATCCGCACGACAACATCGTGTACCGCTCACAATTGGGGTGGCTCGTAAACCACTCAGTTTCGAGAAAGGGGCAAATATCTGCGGGTCAAAACTCGTGTAAAGATAAAGCGAATAGCGCCCGAGGTACTTTGATCCCATTGCCGATTCAATTGCACTTCGATTCGAATAAGCCATTGTCGTGTGCCACGTGGCTTTAAAATTGAGAAAATATAACGCGCTGTGTTTCCCGACGTGAAAGTGTTGTTCAGAAGTGCAGATTTTCAAGCGCAGTGGAGCTCGAATACGCGGCCAGTACGCATGTGCTTCTAGCAATGATCGAGAGTTTTTTTATTTTATGTTCTTAAAACACGGTTCTTGGGTTCCTGTTCCTGTGGTTAACGGCGTCGCTGTCACCGTTGCCGTCACCGTTGGTGGCGCAACGAGTAGACATCGAAAAGTAATCGATATACACAAATAATAAAATGAAAAAAAAAACACACCTAAGATAGAGTGGTATTTGAACTCACGCCCTTTTATTTGGCAGCCTAGTATTCTACCACAGAAGCACGCTGCTTGAATGTATACCTCGCAGAAAGGCCCCACACGGGCGTCATGTCAAGAGAATCGCGTTAACCTGTTTAATATAGCAGGGCAGAGTAAAATAATAGCCAATTACACAATGATAATTACGCAACGAGGGTGTGGTTTAATGCTTCCCATACGCTGCGATGTGCCCAGCCATGATTTCTCATTGTCATCAGCCATATTCAGCATCAATAAAATGTACATAATGCCTTACAGATGTGTAGCGGGTACCTCGATTATCCGCGGAAAACACGAATAGCGTAGTGGGCGTAGTGCTCGCCAAAAAATCACGGTTTATGGCGTAGTCTACAACCTTGCGTAAAGTAAAAACTTCACACTTGGCTTTGTCTCAACACGAGGCGGCGCTCAGAAATTGCGTTAGACAGCATAGTTAATGCCCATAAATTTTTCCATTTTTTTTTCTTTTCGATTCTCTTTTACTATTCTACTTCAGGGTATTTCAAGCTCCGGTGTCAAGTTGAAAAAAACAACAACAGACATTTACATCGATTTTCTCTTTCAATAAGCAGTCTAATATGTTTTGAATAAGGGCTTTATCAGAGTAAAATGGTTCATTGATTCTGTCTCTTTTTTGCCGACGAACGTCTCACCCAAGCCATCACACTAAGAGAGACTAGCAATTAAATTTGCATATAATATTAATGGGAACAAGTCGCCAAAGACTACATGCGTCATATCAATTCGAAAACAATACGGAGTTTCAGAACTGTACAGGTAGGACTCGAGTTCATCGGGTCTCCGTGAGTGCGCAGTAGACAATTTAGGATGCGACTTGTCCTAAGTACAACCGAACGCGAACGAATGGCGTTCGGATCTTCACAAATTCAACGCAGAGGAACTTCTGTTTCGATTTCGTTGCGACCCATATTTCTGAAAAAATATGGGTCGCAACGGTAAGCCATATAGTGCTTATCGTATAACGCATGTGCAGTGGCGGACACTCAAAGTGATTGGGAACGCATAGCTCATGATAATGTCTGTGGTTTTACGTCCCAAAACCACGATGTTCACGAAAGACGCCGTAGTGGAGGACTCCGGGAGTTTCGACCACGTGGTGTTCGTTAACTTACACTGACATCGCACAGTACAGTGGACCCTACCATTTCGCCTCCACCATAATGCGACCGCCGCGACCGGTATCGAACCCACGACCTTTGTTTGGGTCAGCAGCCGAGCACCTTCGCCACCGGTCTTTCTTTCTTTCTTTCTTTCTTTCTTTCTTTCTTTCTTTCTTTCTTTCTTTCTTTCTTTCTTTCTTTCTTTCTTTCTTTCTTTCTTTCTTTCTTTCTTTCTTTCTTTTCCATAATTAACCGGAAACATTAAATTCTGTATGTTCTCCTGGGCTAAAAGCTGTAATGAAACAGCTTGACTGGGGCCCAGAAGACCAATTACACGACAACAAGTGACGGGTGAAAATATTTGCACCAAATGCACATAACACAATCACATATTGTAGAAATAAATATTTACAAAAACGAAGCGTGTAACAATACCTGTATATGCGTAACAAGGAATCGGTTTTGAATGAAACACATCTCTTTACAACAACAATAACAGAATACCCAAGTTTACGTTTACAGAGAAGGAAAAAAAAACAGCAATAGTACACCTGTAATTCTGGCAGTAAACCACGCGAAACAATAATATCAACACAATATAATAAAAGAAAAGCATGGTAGCTAATCATACACAAAGGTATACAATGAAATGTAGCACAACATGGCGGACGAACGCATGGCTCAGAGCACTCTATACTATAGCTGTCCAGTAGGGTGAACGATACATGCATACACTCAACCACCGTTCTAGAATCAGTGTCAGTTATTTTGATAACTTTAACAGGTGGTGTCCGCTACGTAGAGCCACAATGACCGCACGACATTTAGCTGTCGGGAACTCAAGCTCAAGTTTATGGGCGACGCTCGCGCGGCCGAGCTATGCATTTCCGGAGATAGACGCTGTCGGCGAAGGCGGTTTGTCGCCGCATTCGGCAGCGGTGGCTGCAAGGACACTTACGTATAGGGGAGAAGTGGTTTTAAACGAGAAAAACTGAAGAAAAAAGTGAACTCCGCAACTGTCTTCACCAAAGTGCGACACCTCAGCAGTGAATCACAAGGGAAGAGATAAGGACGAGATAAATGAGATGGAGAGGAAAGTAAAGATTAAGAGAAAAAAAAGTCACAACTTTACCGCAAAGGTTCAGCAATAAACGCGATAACAACAAATTGGAAGGTCACGAGCAGAATGGCCAGCAGATCGAAACGTACCCCACGTTTCTCACGCACGAATGACGCACGAAACGTACTCGCAGGCATAGAATAACGCGAATAAGCGTCTCAGTTGTTACTTCGCTGTGTCTGAAAAGCGCGCCCTTTTCGCAAACGGACCCTGTGCAACAATTGCAGTGACCTTTGTGCGCCCGGTAACTACAACAGAATTGCTCCGACGAAACTCAAAGGCTAGCCAAGATGTACGGTTGTTCCCACTGCAAGATAAAGGCGCGCGATCGAGCGTACACACCCTGTTATTCTCTACGCGGGCCAAAGTACGCGTGAGAGATGGGAGCCACCGCGCGCTCACTGCGCCATCTTGCTGATACCTCCCCCCCCCCCCCGATATGCCCGCCAACAGAGTGAGTGATAAATATGAATAGTTTGCCGTTTGAACGTTAAAGGAGGTACCTCTCGGTGGCCCAGTGGTTAACGCCTCGCGTTCACGACGCGGAGGTCCCACGTTCGATTCCACGCACCAGAGTGTCTCCTGGGATATTTTTTTCTTTCTAGCGTTTTCGTATATATATAAAGACGTATACATATATGTGGTGCATGACGTCGACGCCAACGTCCGCGGCGACGCCGGCGGTGAAATCCAGCAGAGAGGGTCCATATAATTGCTATCGCAATAATAAAAGATTGGGAGATGGTTAGAGTAATCCGTGAATGGGGCCCCGATCGGCGAGCAGTCGAAGACAGGACGAAATCCTTTCGAGTGTCTCCCGTCAACGGATGCGCTTCTCGTTCGGCACGGAGCACTGCTATAGTCAACAATATTTACATTGTTACGCACCACATATGCAATCAGAGAGCTCGGTGCTTGCACGGAAGCGGCGATGGCGGCGTTGGGGGCAAAAGGAGCGTCGTGGATATTTTCAGTTACGATAAGAGCAGTGGCGCCGCTCGACGTTGCTGTGAAAGCTTAGATAGAGTGCAATCTCAGACTATCGTGCAATTGATTTCAGCCAGTGCATTTGATCGAAACAACCGATCTCAGCGCGACCTGTGCTTAATGAAGGGTGAAGCTGACGGTAAGGGTAGCTATCGGGGTACCAGTCCTGGCCATTCTCTTCAGTTCCAGGGAAGAAACGGCTGTCACCTACAAGGCTTGTGTTTAAGCTCATTATTAAGAAGAAAAAAACAACAACCTTGTAATAAGTTGCGGAAGGCTGGGTCACGGCAGAGCTGGTGGGCCCTTAGCTGTCCCCTCTTATACTAGTGGGGAAATCTCGGCCAACGTGGAGACACCGAGAATTTATACCTAGTTCAAGTTTATTAACCACTGATACACTGCTGTTCCATAACGGCTCTGCTGTGTAACTTCTATAGCGCGCTATGTGCCACAGAAGTTGGCAAAGTCCTACAACTCACCACGCTGGTTTACTAAATGTAAACAAGAAAACACACGGGCTTCAAACACCAATCAGGGGCCGCACCTTTCAGGTCTCTTGTTATCCATCAGTTACGGTGTCCTTAGCTGGTGATCAGTGCCATCGGTTTGTGATTTTGATGGTTCTTGATCTACGACACACTTTAAACCTCGCTCAAAACAGCTGTGCTGTAAAAGAAGTGTACGGTAGCCATGGATTGAAACGCGAAAATTTAGGGTAAGTATAACGCACCTTCTCTTGTTTCCAGCGTCTACAGTTCGTGTTATATTTGAGTACTGTTGACTCGAATACTTGCGACAGAGCCAATAGAGAATGAGAGATAATAAGGATGAAAGAAAGGCAGGGAGGTTAACCATGACTGAGCCTTGTAAGATACCTTGCACTGGAGAGAGGGTAAAGAAAATAAAAGTGAGAGAGAGAGAAATGTCACTCGATCATGCCGTTGACAAAATGGCAGTTATGTGCTTTACATCACAGACGGCGAGTCACATCCGTGTCTTAATCACTGAGCACATTCGTTGCATTAACTTGTATGCGTGGTTCCACGCACCCAAACTCTTGTCGATGGTGAAGCCATGATGGTTCGTTCTTGTCCGTTCTTGTCTATATTCTATATATATTGAGTCCGTTCTATATATATATACTCTATACTCTATATATTGAGTCTATATATTGAGTCTACATATCGAGAGTATATATATATACTTATACTCTATATATTGAGTCCATTCTTGTCTATATTTTGAGCTGTTTTTACGTCCCAAGTATGAACCAACAAGTAGACCAACTTTCGCTATTATTGCAATTCATTTCTAAATCCTCATTGTTGCACATCTCTCACCTTTAAAGGCCAGGTGCAGCAGTTGACTGGTTAGAAGCCGAAGCTCTACGTTGGCGGAGTCTCGTAGCTGGAACGGAAGATAAACGTAATGAATATTTCACAGTTATGTGCAAAGAAAAGGACATTGTTATGCTTCGTAGCCACGCGTAAATAATATGGCATTGTTATGCTTCGTAGCCAGGTAGACCTCTTAGTGAAAGTCTCACTCTTCTTCGGTGAAAGGCGGTATGACCTACTTACTGTGCTGTATTGTATATTATATCGAACTATCAGCTTTTTCTGTAGTATTATTGTTACTGTGCCCTGGCTTTTTGAAAGTCCGCTACCATTTACTATCATCGTGATGCATGGACCGCTGTCACCGATCTCCACAACTCATTAATTTTTTTTCCCTTTTTTAACCGAAGAGCGGGGCACTTACGTCACAAGACTGGAATGATGCATTGGGGAAGCTGTGTGTGTGTGTGGCCAGAATGAAGGAAGGCAAAGCCCTACACGCGTGCATTTCTCACGAGCCGTCAAGCGGCACGCAGTGTCCGAAACGCATATTCACTTCACGGGAGCACTGCTTTACTATCGAATTTTAGTAGCGTACGAAGCAGCGTAGATGCACTCAGAATTGAATACAGTGCGACGCTGCATTGTCGAGAAGGCGTTTTCCGTGTATGTTTCACCCGTTCTCACGTCGTCGTTGCATAAGTAATCGCGAAGAGTGCGAGTCTGTCAACGCTTGCGAATATTGCGCTGTGCCGAGGGTTTTCCCGTTGTCTTTCCAATAACGAGATGCGGCACTTTGGTTTGTTTGCGACTCTCGATAATCCATACATCTTGCCGCGAAGGACCTGACACGCGAACGTTGGCGGAGGGATGCTTGAGACAGATATTGACTCAAGTTATCTTGTTTGGACATACCCTGAATGGAAACTGTGAATAGGTAAATGACGGTATGCGTCAGCGTGACGAGGCGTGCAAGCCTGCCACTGGCATCGCATGGCCACTGAATAAATCGTGAATTTTAAAAGCAGTTCACCCAAGTGACATTATTTATTCGTGCACTGGACTGACAGTTATACCAAGTGACAAAGCTTGTGCGAAAGTAAAGAAAGTTGTCTAAAACACCGTGTTCTAAAACGCCGAATATCTGTGGTACTTTGGTTCTGCTTAACTAACTAACTAACTAACTAACTAACTAACTAACTAACTAACTAACTAACTAACTAACTAACTAACTAACTAACTAACTAACTAACTAACTAACTAACTAACCTGGTTTATACAATTGCTTTGTAAGAGCTAACTAACTAACCAAATAACTAACTAACTAACTAACTAACTAGCTAACTGACTGACTAACTAACCTGGCTACACAAGTGCTTTGTAATTAGCTTCATTGGGCAGTTTCAGAAAAAGGATATACCAGGGCCTTGCCTTTGTGGCCACGCATGAACGCGCGTACAAGAAACTCAAAGCCCGCGTACCGTATTCTGAAACTGCATGCTATTCATCCGGGGGTGCTGAAGTGCATATCATGGCTAATCACAAGGTTAACTTCAAGCTTGGCAAAGAGAATCAGCGCGAATCCCTTAAAATGAGCGATTGATATTCCGAGGCTGAATGAACTAGCCGTACTCACCTTAATGATGACCGCCAACGCGACGAGACCCTGCGCTCGTTGCCTTGCTTCGGACACGTTGGCGTACAGGTCACAGTTGTAGCCCATGATCTGGAGCTGCGACAAATAGACGGGCCTCTGTCCCTTACAATAGGTTGCTGTAGGAAACCTTCCGGCTGTATTTTGACTTCTTAGTGTTTTTTTAAGCTTTCAGTGGCCATTATTGCACGTTTTCAAGAGACGAGATTACGATTCCGTTACTAAAGCGAGTCTTTGCTCGCCGTATTTGTTCCCAAGGCTTTTGGTGTCAGTAGACGAAACACTGATTGGTGTAGCGGAAATTTCCGTAATAATACCCTGTGTGCAAATCAATGCCATAAAAAGTTAGCCGATAGTGAGCTCATTGTAATTTGTAGTTGCGTAGACCACGTGAGCATCGTCATGGGCTTTCCCGCGCCTTGCTGATTTGACAAGGTTTAATAATAATAATAATAATAATAATAATAATAATAATAATAATAATAATAATAATAATAATAATAATAATAATAATAATAATAATAATAATAATAATAATAATAATAATAATAATAATAATAACATCATATCCACGGGTGAATGATGATGAGTGCGGGTCCGTCCGTCCCTCCATCTGTCTGTCCATCTGTCTGTGGACATGCTGTGCCGGAGGAATGGATTGCCATGGACCATAAGGAGCTTCGCATGCCCAATAGCTTTGGGGGCTTTATGTCCCAGACTGATAACATGATCATTAGAGACCCTGTGGCAGGAGCCTTCGGAAGCACTGATCACCTGAGAATATTTTTTAAAGTTCAAATCTAAATCTAAGCACGTAAGCCTCTATCATTTTAGCGTTCACCGAAAATGCGGCTGCCATGGTCGGGATTCGATCCTGCAACCTTCTGGTCAGCAGAATACAACCACAAAACTACAACGACGCGTAAGCCGAGGGTTGGTTCGAATAAACGCGACTATGCCGTTAAGGACGCGTACCAACCGACGAACAGTTCTACAACTTATAATTAAACTGCTTTACGAAAGCACGTCTTCACATAGATTACAAACGGAGCATTAAATTCTCTTCTGTTCTGTGTAGGTTTACTGGGGCCCGTCTCGACTGTCCAGTCCGGTGTACACCAGTCACCTCCCAAGCAAACGCCGAATCACTCGTGCGGTCATCGGAGGGTGGAATTCAACAAGCTGACTCAGTTGGCTCGGGTTTAAACTTCACTGGGGTAGAGCGAGATCGAAAGAGTTCGCGCGCCGCTAATCGTGATGGCCGCGTTGTACGGAGAGCACTCACGTAAGAATCGCCTTGATGGCTTTCCGATATCCGAGCAGCCGGAACGCCTCGTTACGAGCAATCACGCCATCGCACTGTCTTTCTCGGCGAAGAATTCGCTCGATCGCTTTTTTTTCTTTTTTTTGGCGATCGCTTACGGAACACTGAAACCGCCCGCACGAAAGAGAAGAAGGTGATACGAAAACGAAGACGAGAAGTGGTAGAAGGGCTAGACGAAGGGTCCGAAGACACAGGGACATACACAAGTCCGCATAAACGGCATTCCAATTTCTCCCCCCCTCTCTCTCTTTCTTTATATCTTCGTCGACCTTCGAGTTACGTTCTGAGAGTCACTCAGATGAGAACAGTTTTCGGAGAGGGCACGAATAAAAAACTGCGGTCGATCGTTCGAGAAAACGAAACTGTGGAAAGTATTGCGCCTCGCACACGCGTTCTTTCAATTTCGAATAAGCTGGTGGTGGGCTAAAAACAGCAGCCTATTTGGAGCGCAAATTTTTTTAGCAGCCGAAACAGCCACAAACAAGCACTCAAGCCTTCATGGTGGACCTTCGTCGAATTTTTGTTAGTTTGTGGCGTTAAGAGTAATACCCGGCTTGAGGTGTTATATTACCACGTGCACGCGCGCGATTGCAATTGCTTCGCCCGTGTGGTGACGTAGAAGCTTGCGTACACTTGCAGTTTAAAATACGAGCTCAAATTGCATTCGATTTGAAAATTAGATATTTAAACGTATTCGGTTATTAGTTTCTTGGGCCAGATATAAATAATACGAATACCTTCAGACCAAATAACTTTATCAAGTGACCCGAACACCTCCAGAGGAGAAAAAATAAGCACTTAGCCAATACCATTTATAATATCCACTTTTGTACCAGCTTAACCACTATGAAAGATATACGTAAATAACACTACGAAGAATGACGCCTCAGTATATGCTTGATTTATGTAGAGACGAAGGAAATTCCAAGTTGACTTGTGGGTTTGTTAGTTATGTTATAATAACAGAATACGCATATTGTTGCGACAGTTGGCCATTGCCAATGAGCAGCAACAGAGCTTTAACGGTAAGCCGAATTCCCACCTTTTTCATTTTAATCCTCATCTGTTCTCTATTGCAGAGACCTATCGGGACCAACTTCAAAGCTACGTCTCATTCAAATTCACGCTTTCGACGATGTGCAATCCATGTCATCTCTCTTGTAGCCGACCAAGTAAAAAAGGACGGAAGTGGGCCCCTGTTTCAGTGCGCAAGATGTCTCCGCGGGAGTATTTAGTTCGGAGGTTTCCCTTCGATGGAGGTATTGACAAGGTGAGAAAGTTGATACGGGATTGATGAGTAGCAGGGTAGTCATGTGACGTAGAGAAGCACGTGACATGCAAAGTGGCAGAGTGAGCGCGCTGTATTACGCAAACCTCTTGACCACACTACTGATTTCACTCGGGCGTCTGCAGAGGAGGGATGAGAAGGTGCCCTCCCAGTACTTTGTCTTTGCGGTGTGTTCACATCGTAAGAGCCCCAGCCGGAGGAGGACCGATTACAGCAGAGAAGAGAGGAGGGATGCTGCAGTGAACCCCCCCCCCCCCTCTTACTGAAGAACCCTACGCATGTCTGTGATCGCACTGCACTCTACAATGCCCTCCACTCTGTGTTTCTAGTGTGCAGTTGCCAATGGATTGTGATGGAGTGAAAGACACCATAATGAAGTTGCGTTACGGTGATTGAGATCAAATGTCGGAACAGTTTATTACACCAATGCACTCTTTTCCCATCTGTTTAAAAATTATAACTGATTAGGTTTGTGTGACAAAACTGAATATCATTATGCGGCACGCCTTAGTCTAGGTATCTTGTCTATTGTGCATTCTTTAACACGCACTTATTTAAGACGGAGTACCCGGGCGTTCTTGCTTTTCGCTTCCACCGACACATGAATGCCATGGTTAAAATCGAACCCGCGTACTCAATCTGAGCAGCCCGACACCGACCTGTTAAGCTTCACCTGCTCGGTGCGTTTTGATGTCGGTAGGCCTTTTTGGCAGCTGATTCGATATTATGCCGTCTTGTGTACAGACGAGGCGTCGCTGTGAGCGCTCACCTCTGCCGGGAAGACGAATCCGGAGACGGAGTGCTCGGAGCCTCGGTCTTCGGTGCGGCCGAAGTGCAGCCGCAGCTCGTAGACGCGGTAGCGGTACGACAGCGGTCCGAGGCTGATGTTGACGCCGCCAAGTTCGTCGTCGTCGGACAGGCGGAACACGATGCCTTGTCCCGTGTTCTGCAGAAGCCCGTCCACCTGCGTCCGCGAACAGTTCACCCCCCGTTGAGAAGTCTTGCCACAATCAAAGTTACATCACCGAACGACATGTAGTAAATCGAAGCCAACTGAGGCACCAATATCAAGAAAAGGATGCGCTAATGCCACGCCATCATTCAGCTTGTCTGTGATTGGATTCAAGACATGTAGAGCTTTTGGCGGCGACAACTGCTAAGTAGCTAAACATTTTCGTTCCGCCAAGTGTTATGCATACTCATATTTAATAATATAAAGCTGCTGTAATAATAATATAACGCTGCATATTTGATAATATAACGCTGCTCCTTGAACGCGGTGACAGCATAACAGAAATAGGCTATTGCGGGCAAGCCTGCTTCTCGAAACATTGGCTGCCAACGGCACCCTTTCTTCAATGGTTTCTCATTTCTTTAATGGCTGTTGTCTCACGCTTTTTACTTAGGTACGTAAAAGCAACTTACTAAAATATTTGTTCTAATGGTTTCATTTTGCGTGCATCCGTGCATGCAGTTCCGTGCATAGCAGCTAAACAGACTAGTCACTGTCTTGTCTTTTCCTTGCCACCTTTCTTTCTCTTTCTCTTCCTCGTTATTGACCATATGAACCATACCAATTTAGGTACTTTAGTAATACTCAACGCTATCAAAATAAAGGTAAAATGATCGACACATAAATTAACTAACCATATAGGATATTTTTAGATGGAGTGTCGATTGCGAAGAGGTTGAATTAGTTTTCTTACCACATGCACGTACAGTTGTTAATATTGTCTACTCTTTAAAATAGTCTGGTGTTTTTTTTTATTGTCCGCTTAGGATGCCTACAATTGTCCATATTAAACAGATCGGTGTTGCCGTACGTAGTGTCTAGCCGAGCTGCGGCCCAACATCAAGAAGTAAACATAACCACCCATCATTTTGGCAAATACTCTGTTTGTACTCTATTTAAGCACACTCTGCTTAAACGAAAACATTGAGCTCCTCACGGCAGCCTTGGTATGTAACTTCTACTTTAGTTGTTTCCATTACAGAAAGGCCCCGAGTTATTTCGCTGCATCCTGAATATAAGCTGAATGATATCGTTCGAGATATGTCTTCGGTTATTTACCGCAGTTTGATGCTGGCTCCACACAGAAGAAAATAGATGCCACGGACGGTATATTAGAGCCCCAACCATTTCTTAGCCTTGGCGAAAAGTGGACGCGATTGAGCGGTAAAACTAAAGCTTCTTTGGCCGCTGCCCCTGGGGAACGTATCAAACCTCCTCCGCACGCGAATGGAAGCATCTTTCTTTCGAAGATTGTTTGATTGTTTCCGAAGCAGCGGACTACTCCACCAAGCCTTTGTGGGACGTAGGGCCCGAATAGGGAGTCCCGCAGCCTTCTCGCGCTGCGGCCGTACGGTCTCATCTTTTTCTCCGACGAGCCAGCAAGATGCCTGCAACGGTGATTCGAGTTATTACTCCTCGATACAGGCCTGCACGTCTCGAGTTTTTAGAAGCGGGGGGCGGTACGGGTTCGGGCAGAGAGCGGGAGAGAGGGGCGAAGTACTCATTGTTCGAGTGGGCCAAGTCTCGGCGCGAGATCCTTCTCCGGCCGCCATTTGTCTCGCGAGGGGGCGTAACCGTCGCGAAATGGGTTCTTCTCGCGATGCGCTTGGCGGGAGTGCTGCCCCCCCCCTTGTTGTGCACCGATAACGAGCCTCATTTCCGCTCTTTGTCGCCCCCAGATATCGGCAGAAGAGAGCGGCCATCACGTCCGGACCAGCTGGGGCCGCCCCACAGTCGCTGCTGCGACGGCATTGCGACGACGTTCGTGCGAGAACGGCTTGAGGGTCAGTGGCGGCGCCTGGTTTCGCGCGCTAGAGTCACGATTGCGTACTAATCTGCTGGGCGACAACTGTTTTGCGTTTGAGAAGACTCAAGGGAGTAATCTGCGCAGCCGTCTAGACGAGCATTGCGTCGGCATCCGTGTCGCGTGGTGCGAAATGCTCGTCTGAGGCACAGAAACTGACTATGTGTGGAAGGGAAGGAGAGAGGGGGTAAGGAGAAAAAAAAAGGAGAATGGTGGCGATTTCATACATGCACGTACGAGCACAATATACCAGCTTCGTTGTCATCATCATTTACTTTTGATTAACCTCGAATTAAGCTCGAATGGCAAAACATGGGAGAGGCCTTTGTCCTGCAGTGGACGTAGTCAGGCTGATGATGATGATGACTTTAACAGCCAGCAGCACCCTATATTAGATAACATTCCACAAGAATTACCCAATAATGTTAGCAATATACGCGTAAATACTATTATCCATGGTTCTTATTTGAGATGGCGTAATGCACGTGAGTATATTTTATGCCGATTACCACGTGTCCTGCTTACTGCTGCCTAATTAAATTACGCAATGGCTGCTGATAATGAACACACCTCTCAGCTAGCTCTGTGGTGCTAGCCATTCAAAACCGTTTGTTTGCGGCAGCACAAGATAACAATGAATGGTATGAGCCTGCAGAAAAGAAAGGAGAGGGGGGGGCTTTTTTTTTTCAAACCATGGCAACCGCTTTAAAGCTTTCAGTCGGGTGAAGCTTACCACTGTCCGTGGGCGTTGTTGCTCTCCTAGATAAGGATAATACAGAGAAATAAGGCACGCCGCTATTTATTAATCTAATGACTGCTAAGGAGGGTTATTACAGCTGAACTATATAAAATTCACAAAATTGAAATCACGGCTATACCGTGCTTTAGTGCTCTTGCAAAAAGGTACCACGAGATCTGGTTATTTATTGTTACTAGAATGCAGTTGTTACTGCTGCTAATATTTCAATAGTTCTCTCAATTTCGCTTCGTCGTGGTACTCTCGGTAAATCTGCTAGCGATGGCACGTTACACGTGAATAACCTTCGCGAATTTCATCAGTTCACCATCGCTGAATTAGATTTCTTATTTTGAGAACTTGATTCTGCCTAAATATTTAAAACAAAACCTAGGATGTGTTCACGGAATATTGTTTAAGGTAGCACTTGAGATAAATTCACTCAACCAGAAGCTTTACGACTGGTGATATTAGAATTTATGAATTGTAAGACAGAGTCTAACACATGCCAATTCTGACGAAGCCACTGGTGTCTTATCTAGGTGATGCTATTAATCTTTGCATTAAAGTACAAATATGAATGATAAATATGAACTGATCAAACGTATGACTGGTAAGAAGGCTGCTAAGCCAAAGAAAGGTGGCGTCACTTTTTTTTTATCACAGCATTATTCTTTAGCGCAGAAAAAGATCTGATTACGAGATGATCGCATGAGTCCAACAATTGGCATCTTATTTTAGGAACAATTTGAAATTATTTCGCCCTGGAGCCGTAGCGGTGAAAAATAAATAGAACGCTACCAAATTAATTAACCTTCGTTAACTAATTCTTACGCAATATAATTTGTTTGTTAAATAGGCGTTGTGGGGCACCCTCCACACACACACACACACACACACACACACACACACACACACACACACACACATATATATATATATATATATATATATATATATATATATATATATATATATATATATGGGATATGGCACAACGGGAGCGTTGTCAACAAGGATAAATATATTTATTTCCCAACAGTTTCGGGAGGGGTCCTCCCTTCATCAGGAGATGAGTTATACTAACATGAACTTCCAAACTTCGTTGCTGCCGCGTCCCTCTCGCCTTGGAAGATGTTTGCGAGAGTGAGAGAGAACTAAAAAAGAAAGAAAGAGAAGAAAAAAGACGAAAAGAATAAAAGTAAAACAAAGAAAAAAGAAAAAAAGAAAAAAAGTAAAAAAGAGGAAGAACCACTGTCAACACTGAGAACGCGGCAGCAACGAAGTTTGGAAGTTCATGTTAGTATAACTCATCTCCTGATGAAGGGAGGACCGCTCCCGAAATTGTTGGGAAATAAAATATATTTATCCTTGTTAACAACGCTCCCATTGTGCCATATCCCATACCTTCAAGAAGACTAACTGGCCCATTGAATTATTACTCCCACTATATATATATATATATATATATATATATATATATATATATATATATATATATATATATATATATATATATATATATATATATATATATATATATATATATATATATATATATATATTGAAGCTCATTCTTTCATTTTGGGGCACCCAATTGAGCCATACTCATTCGGCCAATGCACTCGCGGAGAGGAACACATCCAGAAATCTTGTGTCTCGGCCACATAGCTAATCCACCATTCCCTGTTGTAATTAGTTTATTTATTTAGGTACTTTTTTCAAAATGAATGGTGTTAATGCACTTTCAGCTCTTAATTTTTTTTCTCAGCCGCACATAAGGCTTCTACCATATGATGTGATAAGAAAAGGGAGGCGAAACAAAAAAGAATGATAAAGAAAAGGCACTCAATGCATTCACCCTGAAAACAGAATATTTCGGAATATGACAGCTCAGTGTGGGGATGAAGCTTTTCATTGTTTCTAGAATTAAAAGGTTACGAACGTACTCCGAATGTTCGAGGGAAGGAAAAGCTTTTTTTTTTTCAAATGTGGTGCACTTTTGTTCAGAGAAATGTTCATCATTTCGGTTATTTTTTGTCACTTTCCCGAGCACACTTCCTACAGCAAAAAGTGACAGCGCGGGTAGATTGGCCGACAAGGAAAGGTGGTGGCAATGGGTGTCGGAAGGCCTGATAATAAGGTGTCTACCTCAACTTGCCGCGAAACCTGTGACATGTAAGCCCCAATAGTGTTTCACCTTGTGATATAACAAGATTACATAAATGCGCAAGTGAACACTTACAGAGATGAAACGAAAAAAAAAAGAGGACGCGTCAAGATATGGTTTCGCCCATAAAAGTATGTACCCTGTGATTTGAAACTGCGATCGGCTTCAGGTTGGGGTCGAAGAGTAGCTGCCGCGGTTCTATGTTGACTGGAGACTGCCGACGTCCCGTGCTGCAAAGACTCCAGGCAGGGTTCAGCCGGCCCCAGAAGTCCGGACCTGTGGAGAAAGATGTCAGCGGCCATTAGGGTTGTATATCAATCAAAATTAGATAAGTAGGTTGTCAAGTTTATGGAGGAAACAACTCATTACTTCAGATGTGCGTTGAGCGTGCTTCACCTTGTAATGTAAAGTAATGCAAAAAAGCCAGCTTCTAGTTTGTGCTTCCGTATGGACATATGCTGCTGTAGCATCATAACGTAACTTCCTGCTGATTACTAAGCAAAAGCCTGACAGCCTTAAATGCCTTGTGTCCGGGTCGTCCTAAGTGAGAGCTCACAGAAAATTTTGAGTTTTATTGTTTTGTTTTAAAGACCTAGCCATTCATAAAGATGTTCTGACAGGCAAACAACTTGGCGTGAAGCTCATTCTTACGGGAATATACCAACTATGTCGTTCAGTTGAATAACAAGCAAGGATGAACCTAGAAGAGGAAGTCATTAGTCAATCAGCTGCCTTTACTACTTTTTCTTGAAACAATATTCCAGGGGCTTGGCTCTGGAGATAAAAATTACAACAAATTGCTCGCTTCAACACAGTTGTATGTTGGTCATTTCATTTTTGTAAAAGAGGGTGTCTGAAAAGAAGAAAGCGTGGATAAAGAATGAGCGACGTCTTCGGACAGCGTGTGCGTACATTTTTTTTTCATAGCGAGCACCGCACATAAAACCAGGTGTAACATGACGGGAGGAAGAGCTACTCGATGCCGTCAACGGGATAAACGCCTAATCACAGTTGATTACCGTTACTGACTGTCACTTAGGTTGAACAAACACAAGGTGTGTACAATGCACTCAATGACCGTCATAAGGCGAAGAGGCTGCGGCGTTGTTACGAGGGTGGTGATTATCAAAACACGTCGCGTGACGCGTTCATGCTTCGTCGGTGTAAACGCGTGCTCGTAATCGCGACGGCTCCGTCCAACCTCCCACGGTTGCGTGTGCGCTCGGGAAGCACTTTGTTTGTTCGCGGCTACGTTATGCTTTCGGCCGACCTCGTTTTTTGTATCCTCGTGTAGAATGAGCGCGCTGCATTCTGCGAAGACAAGGAAAAAGATGAACGAATACGCCAGGCAGAAGGACAGAAAGAGAGAGAGAGAAGGAAAGAATGGACGCGAATGAAGTTCCAGTGCGGAAGTTTATCTTCGATATCCGCTGCACTGTAAGGTATACCTCAGCTGGACGCGAAGGAGCAAAGCGAAAGGGTTGTCATAAATGAGGGCTGCCTGGTTTGGACGGAGAAGCCGCAGAGAAGTCTAAAGGAGGCTCCAGGGAAGGCCGTGAGAGAGTTCGCAAGAGGTGGGGTGGGAGTGGATGATCTTCATCTTCCGACAACGGGACGGCATGCATCACAGGCTGCCGCAGCCTAGCTATACAGCAACGTAGCCCGTTCCTCGGATGTGTGCGTGCGTGCGCGCGACGCTCGAACACCGGCACATCGCCGCAATCGATCGCGTGGTCTCTCTCTGTTGCTGCCAAAACACGGGCCGGCGTTCATAAGGCAGAAGCGGCAGCTATGAGGAGTTCCGCCGTTGCGTATATAACTGGTCGTCGTCGCGGCCGCTGTTTACCTTGTCCCCGAGAACAGCACAAGTGTCCGTCCTTTCCGAGCACATTGATCGAAGCCGGAAGAGAGCTTCGCTGAAAAAGTAGGCTGCGGGTGGGAGTAATGCGGCTGCAAAGGAGAAGATGCGCCCGAAGCGAGCGATTTCCAAGACACGCAAAAGTGCAGTCGACAAGGATCTATAGTGCGAGCAAGTAGACGCAGTCAATGGCTTCCACGCGGCGACGGTGACCCGATTGGCCCACCTCCGCTTCGCGAAAGTGCGTCGATTATTCTCGATTTTACCGGGACGGTGGCAGCGCAACCTAATTCTGACGTACTACAGTGCCGGTGTACTGCGTTAATTGCTTTTTCGCCGCGTTCCTACAGCACACGTAGCTCCCACAGTGGTGGAGCTAGGCGCAATAACCTTCGTATACATAAAACGTCTTGTAACGGCCGTCTTGTAGAGGTATCGTGGCGGCTGTCTTGTAGACTCGCCCATGTCCGGAAAACGAAGCCCACTGAAGCGACTCCTCAGCGACAGCGTCGGATAGAAGGCAGCACGCAAAAGAACAGAGAAAGGCACACGCGTGCTTCGAAGAACCACGATATAAATTCATCCCGAAGTTTGCTCAGTCGTGCTTGTTCGTTTTTGTTTGTCAAAGGGAAGTTGGGCAGAACGTTTATTCAATCCACTGCCATCGATTATTCCTGCAGCGAGCTCGCCTAATGCCCCCCATATCTCTCCGAGGGGTCGACTTGGCTTTGTATTTTTGAGGACTGAGTATGAAATGTTAGAACCGGAATCTCTACCGCACATGACGTATCACGTGAGCGTGTATACTGAAAAGCGTAAGTAGCGAAATGTGGTACTATGCCCATGTGGAAGGCAAAGCGTTGCAACAGGCTTCGGATAACTCTGACCACTCAACTTCTCTGGAAGTGGTTATCTACACTAGAGTGAACTACGCCCTGTACATACAAAATTGATATTCAGTGAACGTAACTTATGTACTGGGATTATCTGTTTTTAGAACTTCGTTCGAAGTACAATGACATTGCTCCGCGTGAACAACGAACTAGTTTCTGAATTGTGGTCGACTTTGTGTTTTACTACAAAGGAACGCTAACGTAGGTCATGCAGGAACGAATTATTATGCATGGTTAGCACCACTGTGGTCTGAGCTAAAATAAATGATTGATCAATTCATTACGGCTGCATTTAAGATGAGAAAAAAAAGCAAAATAAACCCGGAAAACCAGAGCTGGGGGTCGTCATTCCTCAGTGGGCTGGGTAATACACGACAAGGAATTACTAGCTTTTTCGACCGTCATAATATCACGCCCTATATTACTGCAAAACGCTCGAGCGTATGCGGAATTCACCACCTTTCGTTTCGTGAATAAGTAAACTGAGTCACACAATCGTAATTTCAAATGTATCTTTTTTTGAAAAAAAAAACAACCCAAAATAGTCAGCCAATCTTCTCATTATCAAAGTTTCCATACGATAGTGCGCTTGATTCCATTGCGATAAGCGTGAACTCTTACGGTGTGTGCGCGCACTTGGTTAACAATATTCGCTCCGCCCGCTTATGACCAGTTTTTATTGTTCGTTAAGATCTTTTCGCGAATGTCGTCGTCCCACTGCGCAGGTCAAACTTTCGGATGTCGCGTTCGCTCCCATTCTGGAGACACAACCTGACGCACGTCAGCCTAGTCGGGCTATGTATAGTCTGTCGTACCTCCCACACTTCTGCAAACAGTGCTAGGCAAACTTCTCCACAGTTCGCTAAAAACATATCTCGCAACTGTGCACAACGCACTGTGAATGTCAAAGCCCTTCGAAACTGTGTACAGCGATAACAGAAAAGCGCGCGAAGTCTCGCTAGTTCGGGCGTGGTTCGTTTATCAAACGCGGGGGGGGGGGGGGGTGGCGCCTTCTCACGAGTCTATACCGCTCGCATTTTATCCCGTTTCCGGTCACACAAAAGCCCGTATGCGACAGTTTCGGCAGTTCGCGCAGATCGAGGCCGTGAATGCAAACTGTCTCAATCGTACTCCACATAAACACGCAAGCGCATCGAAGCTGCACTCGGATGCCCAACTCTGTCTGTCTCACGCAAACACGCAACCACTCTCCACGTACCAGCGCTTTTCGAAGTACACGAAACGTTGGCGCCATTTTTTTTTTTTTTGGTCACGACGCCGCAAATGAACGCCACCATGCACGTCACGCCGATTCTCTTTCGAGCGCGACGATTTCGACACAGGCTCTGCGGCGTAGATAAGAGCGCCATGAATCAAGATCCGCGGTGGACGTGTCTACCCGCGAATCTTCTCTTCGTCCTGCCTTTCCCCCCATTCCCGCTCCCATTTCCCGTCGACTACCCTCTCCCCGCCGTCTCCCACTTTCTTTCTCCTTCTTACACGCCCCCCTCCCTCCCGCATCCCCGTTCGCTTCTGCTATCAGATAGTGGCTCGCAGATCCGGCACTGGAAACGAAGGGAGAGAACCGCGTCAGAGAGCGCGCACAGCCGCCACGGTCACGGCTGGGCGCTCGCGTAATTAGCCCATTAAGGCTAATTAGTTCCGCTATTATTAATTGAAGCGTCCGATTTATGACGGCTTATCGAGAGCGCGAAAAGATGGGCTGCGCTAGTGCGCGTTGCTTGCAGCCGGCTATCTCTCTCGCTCTCTCAATTAAGAGAGAGAGAGAGAGAAAGAAGGAAGAGATACGTAGATGAAGAGAGCCCACAGCGACGAACGCACAGCGAGAAGAAATCGGCGGCGAAAACTCGCCAGCGACTTGGTCGAGATTAAAAACAAAAACGAACTGCAGCGGCGCGCTCGATCACTCCGACGCGTCTTCACTGCACGATCATGAATTTCGTAAAACTTTTTAAAAAGCCCGCCGCGGAAGGCTAGCCCGCGGGATTGATGACGATTGCTCACGGATTAAACATCGCCTTTCGCGAGCGGGCAAGCTGTGCTCGTTCATTTTTTAACGGTCACCTCGCGCGGCCCGGCTTACCGAAGATATTCGCGCTTAAATCGCGGTGCACACAGCGACGTTTCCACGCGCTTGTAGAGATCGTTAGTTAGGTGCCTCACCCTCTCTCAAAAAATGTTTTTTTTCCTCTCTCTATATGTCTTGGGTGCATATTTTCCGCGCTAGCTTATGGTTCAGTCTCGCACAATATTCTTCAAAGGCGCAAGGTGTTTCAGGGTGGTGAAATTATGATAAAGATATATGTGACCAGTGTCATAAAAAAAAAAGAAAACACGTTGCCATAACCGTGCGCTTAGTGGTTACCACGAACTTCCATTTGTGCTCGAAACACGTTGAGAGGAGAGTGACACTAATTAAATGTAGAGTCATTAGCTCCGTATGAGCGCCTTAGACCGTTGCATCTACCCGTTTTTCTCTAGCATGGTCAGCGTGCTGCATACCA